TCCGTTGAACTGTCGTGGGTCAAAGTGTCCTTAGACTCCAGTATCCCCCTTTGCAAATTGTGCGTGTGGTTCCTTAGAACTACAGTAGTCTGAGCTAATAGCTCATAGAGTCCGCCTAAGTTCCGTATAACTAGCCGACTCTTTAACTTGACATGTTAGCTTCTTAGAACTAATTGAATGTTAGCCGTAAGCCTCTGGCTCAACCCGTAAAGTCTTCCTCTGACTTCAGAGCTGTGGTAGCTCCGCGATACAAGGTGGCTAGTTTAGAGGAGGCTGTCATAAGCGTAAGCGGAATGGAAATAGAAATGTTGTTTGCCGCAAAATTCATTTTGGAAAGGTGGCGGTTTTTTTACCATGGCTACGACTTGAACGATTAAGAAAAATCGGGAGGCGTGGTTTCCTAACCGCGGTACAAGCAGCCAGGTGACATAGTGACAGAAGCGATTATCAACTTTAGTGGCACCGGTGATCATCATGGTGTAATAGTGGCCAACAGCAACAATTGGAAGTCAAAGGTCGTGGTAGTGTTCGCCGTTTTTGTTGAGAATGATTTACAGCGAGATTAACAGACGTCATGTATGTTCTAACGCTTAGCGTCAAGCTTGTGATGACATGAGATTTGATTGCTTGTGGTATCGTGGTTTCAGTTAAGCAAAATTTCGCCCTGAACCACGTTTCATTGGAAGACTCAGTCGTGCTATTATTCTGTAAGGTTGGAAACTGTTTGCGTGGCGAACTGGACGTGAGATAACGAATGCCGCTTATAGCGCAGCGTTAATGTATCCAGCTGATATTGGTAGAGTGCTGACGCATGCTAGGATGGGTCATGTGTCTACAACTTAAACGAAAGAGATGATAACCAAGGCTTGCAAGGGGTTTTCTGGTCTCTGATACGATGACGAGAAGAATTCGGTCTATGCACGGGTGGACGTAGAAAGATGGCCACTATTCCTTCCATTCGTTCTTTTGGTAGGGATGTGCAGACAGTGTTCCTTTTCAGCTGGTTCGTAGTGAGTTCATGGGGCCCATTCAACCATTATCGAAAGGTATAGCCAAACTGTAACGGGTTAAATCGTTACATAACAATTTTTAAAGAAATTGTGAGTAGAATATTACTGCAAGAGTTACATTCTCAGAATCTTGTCATAAGGACAAATATTCTGTAGCACTTACGAGTAGTTCCTATTTGGTTGATATAGGCCACTATATCAACCAACGAAGACGCGCCACGACAGACGCACGCAATGAGTGGTGAGCAGATAGTTGATTTACACATTTGTATTTAGACATAGTTAGATGAGGATAATTAGTGGTTTATTAACAGACATTAACTATGATAAATACAGTTCTACTTTTTGCTTTAACCAAGTACTCGCTTCTTCTTACCGTCTTCCTCTGCACGTACCAGTGCACGAGAAGCTCCGAGACACCGCCTTATTCTGTCGTCAGAATAAGCAGCTTGTACTGTCATCAGTACAAGCTTCAGGGTTCCCCGGTATACAAATACAACGCTACTTTTGTTGTTGGATCTTACAAATGATTTTTGGCTATCCCGTAAAAGCAACATCGGAGGCGTTCCAGACAGTACAACGCCAAAATCCATCGGGTTTTCTCCAATAAGGGCGGCGAATGCACAAGTAAGAGATTTTTCCAGTCGTGCGTGTTGAACAGATTTTACACCGGACATCAGCGCCGTACTCTCCACATCAAATTGGGCTTGCGGAGCGGATGATTCACTCTCTTGGATAAGATACACGACCTTTGCTCCTTCATATGCACGTTGACCGCGTGTGGTGGGCTTAAGCACTAATGACTGTCGCCCATATTTTGAAATGAATATCAAGCAGTGCTCGTCCTGATGTTAGCCACAGTTAAATTTTAAACGAAATCAAAGCAGTGCTAAAATATCTTTGTGTCTTCGTCTCGGATTGGTCCTACCGAATAAGGATAGAAGCGTACGAAACTTTCCGCGAAAGGTCAATCGTTGCATGTTTCTTGGATATGCAGAAGCGTCCAAAGGTTACCGAGTGTGTGATACCGAAAAAACATCATTGTCGCTACTCGTACTGTCGTTCTAAACCACCGACCGCCTAATTCTCGTCGGACAGTTGCTTATGTGAAGATAACCACAGACAAGCGTTGGCGTGTGATGATGACCTTGCTGATTGCGTGTCGATCCCAGACTTTCCTCCTTACAGCAATGGATGTAGATGAGATAAATGCTCTCGATTACGTCAGTTCTCAAATGCGGATGGGGATATTGACATGGATGGTAATGAAGCTGGTATATACATGTGTTAACGCGGATGAAATCATCGTTCTTTAGATGGCTCTAAACGATCCTCGGCTGATGACCAAGCCACTTGTTCCACTCGACCTAGACGACTGGTCCTCGATTGGCGTTCTTACGCGGGATAGAATATGTCGTGGATCAATTTTTTCAGTAGATAACTCAAACCAACTTGTATTCCAGTGGTAATTCTAGTCGGCCTAGGTCACGTGTCTTTGATGAATTCCGTCTACTGCATAATGAAGACCATGTGTCACGCACTGAGGGTTTTTCACAGCAAACGATCGTACCATTCTATTATGAAGATGATGCGGATGTGAACGAAAGACACGATAAGCTGCCCCGCCTCGATGAAAATGAGGTTACGATTTCTGTAACGGGGCACCCTGAAGCTTGTACTGATGACAGTACAAGCTACTTATTCTGACGACAGAATAAGGCGGTGCCTCGGAACTTCACGTACACTGGTACGTGCAGAGGAAGACGGTAAGAAGAAGCGAGTACTTGGTTAGAGTAAAAACTAGAACTGTATTTATCATAGTTAATGTCTGTTAATAAACCACTAATTATCCTCATCTAACTATGTCTGAATACAAATGTGCACATCAACTATCTGCTCGCCACTCATTGCGTGCGTCTGTCGTGGCGCGTCTTCGTTGGTTGATACAATGGTCTGTATCAACCAATTAGGAACTACTCGTAAGTGCTACAGAACATTTGACCTATGACAATATTCTGAGAATACAATTCTAATAGTTATATTCTACTAACAATTTCTTTAAAAATTGTTATGTAACGGCTCACCCCGTTACATCACCCCCCCCTTAACCATCAGTCACTTTAGTGACTATTTGACTAATCGGATACTCGTCCCAAATCATTTGGGACAGGGTTTGCACTTGTTGGTCCGAGCCACAGTCCATCAGTTTCATCGCATGTTAACAGTTCCATGCGGTGCGCGAACAAGGCCGCCGAGAGCGCGTCCGCACGTCTCTGTGCGGACGCCGAAGCAGAAACCGCAGCAACTGATGTCTCATCGGTTGCTGAAGCGACTCAGCCTGTGTCACCTGGTGACGCAGACGCTCGTCATGAAAACACTCATGTCTTCACAGAGTATGAGCTCGGTGTCTCATACTCTCCCGACACGGAAGACGGATCTGTATCGACGGCGATCGAAACCAATCCGCCTGCCAAGCGTGGCGTGGATGATGCTATGCGTCGAAGCATCTTTGGTTCATGTGACGAATCAGATGAACCATCACCGAAGCAAAGGCGCTCGAGGTCGCAAGACTCGGGCGCTCACAGTGGTGTCGGTTCTCCAATTGACACCACTTCGCAGCGAGGTACCAGAACTTCTGTCGACACGTCGCAAGAAGAGCGGGACCGCAATGTCTTGCGTCTCGATCCCGAGAAGAATGCATGGATGCCTCCCTAATCCGTCATGGATCACTTGTCGGCGACGACGAGTGATCGTTATCGAGCACGGTTGCTCGATTCGTCAAGGATCCATCACCTTGACCCCAGCACGAAATACTATCGCGCTGAGTATGATTTCTTCATCGATGCTTGCTTTAAACATCGATGGTACAGTGGGAATCACAAACGTGATGGTCCCTCGCTGCTTCAAGCGTGGAACGCCTACATCCATAACCTCGAGGATGTAGGTCGTGACGTTTGGAACGACAAACTTATCAAAGCTCGTGATAAGTCTGAAAAGCGAACCCCGACAGGTGCACGCTACAAGCTGCATCTTCTGTCTAGAAGGAAAGGGTTACCTTGCCTTTCCTGGGGAGACTCGTGCCCACGTTGTGTAAACAACTCTGGGCACGCACCTACGGAGGATTACCTCCTTAATAGCCCGTGGTGGCGCGTACGTATATCTAGTGATATGTACGAAGGGATTGACAACCTGAAATCCCTTTACGACCGTGCCGGGAAGACCTTTTCCAGCGGTCCTTCTGCGGCACAGGATGTGCCGCATCGTACTGCTCGACCAGACCCAGTACGTCAACCATCAGTTGGGAGCGGGGCTCCCAAGTATCCCAGGACGGAGGATAGCTGCGCCACCGGACGAGATAACTCGTCCGACGTCCGTTCATGTCGCGGTGGTTCAACAGCTGCTCAACCAGATAGCGCTGGCCACCGCGAGAGCCCTCTAATGGAGGTGGAGGAGGAGGGAAGACGCTCTCCATACTATCGTGGGGAAGCGTGTGTTCCCGAGAGCTTCTTTGATCGCGTAACGCAAGGGTTACGCGGCGATCTCGAACATGAGCGGGACAGGCGTCTTGAACTGGCGGACACTGTCTTGAGGCATCGAGCTGAGTTTGCCTTTGCTCAGCATGAGAACGTGAGAGCTCTGACATCTCTGCGTGATGAGCTAAGGGTAGCTCGTGGGGATGTTGATAGGTCTCGGGCTGAGATAACTACTCTTAAGACCCTTGTCGATGGCCACCATCGGGAGCACAAGGCTCTCTGCGAGATGCTTGAGCGCAAGGGCGTTCTTCATCGGAAGAAGCAGCGTACTGATGGTACGGTTTAAGCCGACCAACGTAAAACGTGGGATGCGCTCGCATCTTTCGTGGCAGTTAGATCGTGTTGCATTGCCTAGGCGATGCAATACACGAAATGGGCCGATGTACTTGGGTAGTGGTTTACTACTACCCAAAGTTAGTCACTACATGCTTTGGTAGATTAACCGTAGACAGTAGGACTAAGTCACCTTTATCAAATAAAAGAGTGTTTGCCCTTCCATTCTTGTCAGCGTTTTGCTTTGCTCATCCACCGCTTTGGCGATGGAGTCTTGCACAAAACGGACTACCGTTTCACGAGCCAGTATGAACTCATCTGATGACTCGTTAGCTTCAGTGTGCTGTGAGCGCACTGCAGCAACATCAATCTTTTCTTCAGTGAGGGCTTCCGCACTCTCACTGGGATCATCTTCTTCAGTGAGGGCTTCCGCACTCTCACTGGCATCATCTTCTTCGATATCGATTTTATCGATATCGGCATCAAACGCAATGACCTCTTCGTCAGAGCGTGATGAGCGTGAACCAATTCGTTTTTTGCTCGCGCGAGTCTCTCTCCCCCTTAAACCAGAGTTACACTCGAGTAAGGTGGGAACACGCGGACGGCGTAAGCCATTCACGTAAAACGGTGTATGTGTCGTGGACGCATGCACCGAGTTGTTGATGGCAAACTCTACCATTCGCAAGAACTCACTCCAACTCTTAAAGGAGTGTACCTACCCTCGAAGTCTCTCTTCGAGAACACGATTGGTGCGTTCCGTCCGTCCATCTGACTCTGGATGATCAGATGTAGACATCTTCAAGCGCGTTCCGAGTGATTTGAACACGAAGCGCCAGAAATCAGCAGTGAATCGTGGATCTCTGTCTGATACAAGTTCAAGGGGTAACCCATGAAGTCGGGAGATGGTGTCGATAAAGACACAAGCACAGCCACTTGCCGTGATTGACTCGGGTACAGCCACAAGGAGCACCATTTTGCTGAATCTGTCAACAAATACGAGGATACCCGTATTCCCGCGTGCGTCTTTGGGTAAACCGAAGACGAAATCCATTGAGATGGATTCCCAGCACTCAGCCGGAACCGTTAGAGGCTGTAAAGGTGCACGCAGTGAAGGACTTGACTTCACTTGTTGGCAGACTTCGCATGCGCGAACGTACTTGCGCACAAACTGATACTGGCGGGGCCAGTAAAAGTCTCGACTCACCGTGAGATATGTTTTCTCCCGGCCCCGATGTCCTCCCATAGGAGAATCGTGATACTCGAACATGATCCGCAAACGCAGATCGGTATCATCTGGAATGAGAACACGTGCTGTGTCACCAGAAACGGCTGTATAATACAGTAACCCGTTGCGAGGAGTGTATCGATCTGATGCAGATCGATACGCAGGCGACAATCGTTTCAACGATTCTCAAGATGGTTGGGAGAGATGTGTCAACAACTTCACAATCTCACCATCTTGGGCGTATGCCCGCCTCACATCATCATACAACGTTGTAGATGGGACTGAGGACGTCATAACCGCAACAGTGACTGTCTCACTGTTGGGTTTCACGACTGGTTCAAAGTCGGACCGACGTGAGAGTGCATCAGCGACGACATTAAGTCGTCCTGGTTTGTACTCGACCGCAAAGTTGTATTCTGCAAAGAATGACAACCACCGCGCCATTCGTTGTGAAAGGTGCGGGCTGTTCACTGCCGTGCGTAAAGACGCATGGTCAGTGTAAACAATGAGGGGTCTATCTCCTGATAGATAGACTTTGAACTTCGCGAGTGCATACTTCATGGCATGGAGTTCCTTGTCATACACTGGATAGTTCCGCTCAGCTGGTTGCAGCTGACGCGACTGATAGCAGACGACGCGTTCAACGCCTTCAAGATCGTACTGCATTTATGCACAGCCGATTGCAAAATCGCTGACATCACAGACCACATGAAATGGCCTGTCCTGATCGGCTATTGCTAGGACTGGGGATAGTATCAAGCTCTGCTTGATACCATCAAAGGAGCTCTGACATTCAGCGTTCCATAGCCACCTCTCATTCATTTTCAACAAACGAGAGAGGTGTACAGTCATCTCGGCGTAATTGCGTGAATACTTGAGCAAGTACGCCGCTAGCCCAAGGGACTTTCGAAGACCTTTGACATCAACCGGCACAGGCCAGTCGGTGATCGCCTTGATCTTTTCGGGATCAGGACGTACACCGTTCTTACCAATGATGCACCCAAGAAGTGGTATTTCGCTTGCTGCAAATATACACTTCTTGAGGTTAGCATACAATTGATGCTTCCGCATGATTGCAAGAACCTGTCGGACGTGGTATCTGTGAACCTCAACGTCCGACTTTCCATCCATAGCCCGACTATGGATGAATACGCCATCGAAATAACTCGGCGCGAATTCTCGTACTGGTCTCAACAGATGTGATACACATCTGTTGAACGTGGCAGGGGCATTACTAAGCCCTTGTGGCATTACTAGCCATTCCCAGAGCATGCCGCTAGGCGTGCTAACTGCGGTATAGGGTATATCCCGTTCTCGCATAAGGATTTGATAGAAGCCATCCATCAAATCCATGGACGAAAAGATGGTAATCTTTGACATACCATCAATGATTACGTCCTTCCTCGGTATCGGCGTCTGAGCCGGTACCGTTGCAGCGTTCAATTTGTTGAACGCGTGCACTATCCGCCACCCTCCTGTTGCTTTTCGCACACAGAAGGTCGGAGAGCTATGTGGGGAAGTTGATTCCCTCACATGGCCCGCAGCTAAACGATCGGCAAAGAACTTGTTGATCGCAAGTACTTGTTCATGAGGCAGTGGCCACTGCTTCATGACACAGTACTTCGAGCCTGGTTTAAGCTCGACCTCGTGTCGAGTACCTTCATCCTTCGGTAGTTCGCACGGAACTGTTTCATAGAATACATCCTTGAATTCAACCAAATCATCATAGAGAGGATTTTTCTTGAGCGATTCCCACGATTGGGAGTCATATCGCTCAACTCGTGTCTTTTCATCTAGTACACTCTCGTCCATAGATGAACTACTGAGAACTCTCTCGTTCTCAGTGAACACTGTTGCTGACCTTATGTCGGCTACGCACTCGTCGTCAGCGACGAGTACGCAGATCTGCTTGACTTTGCCACTACGCAGATCACGCAAGAACCTTTTTATGTTCGAGCGTTGGCAACTGAGTGATCTCCGAAGTCAACTTCGGAGGCGCAATCAGATCAAGTGCTTAAGCGCCTACACTCGATCCGTCATTGACTAGGACATTCAATGTCTCTGTCAGTTCCTGGGTACTTATTCCCTCAGGCTTCGAAGGACTAATTCCTTCGGCTTCCTGGGGACTTATTCCCGCGGGTTTCGGGGAACTTATTTCCGCCGTATTTGTAATCTTGGGACTTATTCCCTTAACTTCCTCTAGCTGGGGTTGCGCAACCACAGCGATATCCTCTACGAAAGACTCTCCAGTCGATCTAGGATTATCGTTTCGCTTAACCTGAGCGATCGATTGTTTCTCTTCTAGATGTTCCCCGCTAGGGATACATCTTTGTCCCAGTCCACCCGACCTATTCGAGTGGTGGACCTTCGGCGCAGCCTGTGTTTACTCACAGCCGCCGGAACTTTGCTCCGAAGTGTAATCGTTTGGTACACTAAGGTTTTGTGCAGTCGTACTAACGACCGTACCACAAGTGAGGCCATCGCACTCACTCGTAGTACATCCACACGCTTGTGGACGCTCCAAAACGTTCATCAGATGGCCATCTGATGAACAAGCGGCAGGCATCGTTACTGTCCGATGTTGCCATTTTACCCGTGGTTCGTACCTTCTGAGCCACGGTATTCCAAGGATGACATCAAATTTGTCATCCAAATCCAATACGATAAAGTCATCGTCGTATTGGTTATCTTCTAGCGTATAGTGGATCTTCACTATACGCTTCATGACGGTTACGGATGCGCCTATCGCAAGACGTACCGTCATCCTCGTAGGAGGTGTGTCACATTCACTGAATTTAAAGTGACCATCTTCTAGCGATTGGCGTCGCACAAAATTGTTGGACGCCCCACAATCGACTAGAGCTCGAAGGGACAACTTATTCGTCACCTCGAGTTTCAAGGTAATGAGTGAGACCTCATTACCCAGAGCAGCAACGCACAACATTTGTGTGTTGGGAGCAATCTTCATCAAGAGGCCTACGAATTCTCTTGACGTTGATGGACCAGTAGGGTGCTCTGCACCCACTTATCCTTTCCGTTTTTTGACGGTCCATCCCGTTGTTGCGTCTTTGCACCAACAGCGGACCCGCGTCCCTGCCCCTTTCTCATGGGTGGACGGTCACTACGCCTAGTGTTGCGAGACAATGGACGAGGGGCACTACACTCGTAAGCGTAGTGTCATGTCTTTTGACATCTGTTGCATTTCTGCAACTTCTTGTAGTCTGTAGAGCGAGCCTTCTCGCTTTCTACATAACAGAGTTCCATCGGCTCTGGACCTCCGCTGTCATATCGTCTCGGTTGACGATATGTTGTCGAGCTGGCGCGAGCCTGTCTCAGACTGAAGTCTTCCTGTTCCGCAATGGAAATGGCTTGTTCTAGTGAATCTAGTTCAAGCCGGAACAGGTGAGTCTTGACGGGACCATCCGCAAGACTCTGCATGAACACCGAACCAACGTATGTTCATCCACCGGATTGGAATTTATACAATTCGTGAGGTGTCGTTTATGTTGCGCGTAAGCGTGCACATCACGCTTACCCTGATTGAGTATCAAGAGTTCAGTTCGATCTCTGAACTCAGCTCTAGGCGGTTCAAACGTTTGTCTGAGCCGCGACTTGAAGACTTCCAACGACCCAAACGCATATGGGTCGTGCAACTTGAGCCCCAAAGCCCAAGTCTTGGCACGTCCTGCCAGATTGAATTGGGCAAATGCAACTTGCATTTCCCCGTCGTCGATGCGACGCGCCCTTATGGCGTCGTCTAATTCGACGAACCATCTCATAAGGGAGTCCTCTTCGACTCCCCTATACTTAGAGATGTCAATCTTCAAAGTCTCGGGTCGACGCGAGTGCATTGACCCACCAGCAGCATCCTGCTGCTGTCTCAACAGTTCAAAATGTTGAACACCCTGTTCTCTCAACAACTCTGATTGTTGAGAACCTTGTTGGTGAAGCAAGGCTACTTTGTCGTGTTCAGCGTCAAGTTCATTCTGATTGAACTTGGCGATAGTAGCGGGTTGGGCATCTCTATTAAGAGCCTCTAGCATGACGCTAACAGCATGGATGCCCATGGTTGAACCCATCCGTTCAACCGCATCCCATTCGACATCGCTCAAATCGGAGTAGCCGTCACGCGTAGCGTGAAAGCTTTGGTCATCATCATCATCAAACATATTCATGTTAGATGTGAACCTGGCCCTTGGACGGACTACGAAGTGCTACCAGGTGTAACGGGGCACCCTGAAGCTTGTACTGATGACAGTACAAGCTACTTATTCTGACGACATAATTAGGCGGTGCCTCGGAACTTCACGTACACTGGTACGTGCAGAGGAAGACGGTAAGAAGAAGCGAGTACTTGGTTAGAGTAAAAAGTAGAACTGTATTTATCATAGTTAATGTCTGTTAATAAACCACTAATTATCCTCATCTAACTATGTCTGAATACAAATGTGCATATCAACTATCTGCTCACCACTCATTGCGTGCGTCTGTCGTGGCGCGTCCTTATTTGGTTGCTATAATGGCCTATATCAACCAAATAGGAACTACTCGTAAGTGCTACAGAATATTTGTCCTATGACAATATTCTGAGAATATAACTTTTATAGTCATATTCTACTCACAATTTCTTTAAAAATTGTTATGTAACGAACACCCCGTTACAATTTCTGCAAGCGAAGTTACGCAAAACTGCAAAGAAGCAATCCCTGCTCATGACGCTCAGCAGTGGGAAGAAGCAATCCATAGCGTCATTCACTCTTATACTCTGGATCATCCTTGGAATTTGGTTAAGCGGCCTCGTGGTTTAAAGTAATCGGTTTCAAGTGAGTCTCCCTTAAAAATGTAGTGAGTGGTAATATGATCCGCTTCGACGCGCGGTTGGTTGCACAGAATTTCTTGTATGCACAAGACATCGACTGTTTCCGCACACCTGTTGAAAGTACCAGTCTTGCTAGAGTTTTTCTAAGGGTGTATTCTGCCAAGAGATACAAGATCCGAGAGGTTGACGTGGAGACTACATTTCTCATCGGAAACCTGGAAGAGAATGTGTAAATAACACCCCCTTGTTGTATCAAGGATGAAAAGGGTATGGCGTGTGAGCTTTCACGCATTCTCTATGATCTAAAACAAGCAGCGGTTGTCTGGAACTTGAGTATTTGATCGATGTTTGGGGGTGCATGCAGTAATCCAGTCGGTCTGCTATGCGACATCAACACGTACGTAATTCTTACAGTCATTCGTCTGCAGCGTACCACGGACTGTCTAGAAATGCATCTACAAGCGATTTAAGGCTGTGTTCCTGAGTATGGCACATGGGCCGCTATGCAAAAGTGTGACCTCAACGTCACACATTCGGATGTACTCCCATACGCCGCGCCTTTCCTACGTGGGACTCGAACAAAGCTCCACGTACTTGCGCATTAGTCACCAGGACGAAGACGATAAAGACATGATCGCGTCTGATCTACAGCCTCATAGGGGCTAGTTCGCACAGTCGTTCTGCCTACTGTGCAGAGATGCTGCTATGTGATCTTCCATTTGTTGCAGGGCGTGTAATTTGGGAAGCTTGCAACGCACAATTGGTATATTGATTTCGTTGCATCCACTTTCAGCCCACTTCATGACTAGGTAAATACTGTTGATTACGAGCATTGGGCACAAACGACATCCGAATTCTATTTTCTTTTTATTCTTGTAATACTGCCCCCTGAAGAGTGGAAGGCATAGGATATGCACTGTACAAAACTACAGACGCTTTTGTCGCGTGAAACAAGCGGGTTCCGCAAACGCATCTATTATAATGCATGTGCGGTGTGAAAGAATGTGTTGATGTGATGTATGGAACGAGGCGTATCTGAAATACGCTGCAGTGTTGTACGGAACAAAGGCGTATCTAGAATGTGCTGCATTGGTGTATGGCACGATACATGAGAGAATGAGAAGCGATAAGTCTCTGGAAAGATGGAAGAGTCAATGCGTCATTTAGCCATAAGATCACCAAATTCGGCTCGCATTTGTGAAAAGCAAAACTAACAGTAAATGAAGTTCAGAACTTCCTTCAATCGCGTACTTATCGCAACTCGTCCACTTCAGCTTACGTCGTGACATTGCCACCTTCTCAAGACGCTGTTGTTGCTGTCAGATCCCGACGATAACAGGCCCGCACAGTACGGTTGAATCAGAAGGTACTAAAGTTACAGTGCAACAACGATGTCCGGTCGTTTTGATTTAGTAATATACAGAGGAGCTTACATCTTGCAACCGCGTTATCTTGTACTGGAAATAGTCCCCACGTTCCGTGGCGGGATCTACTCTTCGTCCCTTGTGATAATTTTTTTCCTGTCTTGATTGCGTCTACCGTCGAGGTCCCGGAAATAAAATGTGAATACTCCTGATCAGTCGGTCTCCTCACTCCCAGAGCGTCAACTGAAGGATACCTTCCTGGATATAAAAGCCCGAAGAATCTGGAACAACTCTCCCAGCCTCTGGTCTCGCTGTTGTTGTCGGATGTCGGATCGACATATACACCACGGCAAACCACTTGTTTGTGCACCTTTCCTTGACGGCTACACTGGTCCTTTCAATGCACTGAGGTTATAGACGGCAGTTGTGGCAGTGCTGAGCTCAAAAAGGTGCTTGACATGATGGATGCCAGACGTTCTTGACGACTGGTAGTATCAGATTGGGGGAGCTGTAGGTTGAAACCCCCAAGGACGAAAGTCTTCGCATCGTCTAATTACATCGTGTGGCAGCATGCACTAGAGTCCTGCAGGAGATCTGGGAATTGAAAACAAAACATGCCATCGAAAGGAGCGGCGGGGCCGACCGATGTGACTGCAGATCGTAGCGTCAAGCTAATTGACCACGTGTTTCGTGGCCGAGTGTCACGAATTGAGAAATCGATGCGGTTTCTCGTTCGTGCCCGATTCGAGATTCCGGTACGGTCTGATAATTTAGTCTGCAGGGTGCGTCATTCAAGCATTTGGGGGGAATGACGTGATAAAAGTATCGACTGACAGTAAAACAGCCACAAGACCGGCGTCAGTTCACTTCGTTTTTTACGGTCGTAACACCGTGGTAAACCACAGCAAAATTGTGTTCAGAGATTTCAACCGTATACATGTCGTGCTCCGAACCAGACATCGTCCCAGATCACGGTGTTGATCAATTATGGGGAGCGAAATACAAGATCCGACTACGCTGTCACTGACACTCTACCATTTCGGAAGCTGTTTTAATCTTCAATTGAGGACTCAACTCAGATGTGGTACCATCGACTACCATTGTACGATCTTCAACACTGCCATAAGTGCACCGATCGCATTTCAAATGGTTGACTTTTTGTCTCCGGTCGACGAATTCTTTTGCGGCGGATCTGAGTCAGTCCTGCCAAAACCAGATCGTCCATGCTGAACAGCGTCAGCGCAGACTTTAACTTCACTTTTCCTTCAGTTCGCATGCCTCCTTGAGTCGATCGATCGTCGAGCGGCCTTGCAGGAGCACTTTAACCTCCTCTACACTGCATTTATGGCACGTGATCGCTGGATAACGCTAAAAGCAAAGGTTCCTCTAGCATCCATCGAAGCTCACTTGTCATTTCGACGCTTTGTCCGCAATCAAGAACACCACCATCACGCTTCAATTCGGACACGCATGAAGATCTTTACATCAACTCTGATCGGAGTCAGCACGGTTCTCCAGCATTCACACCTTGGTCGAGTTGCCGGTCAAGACTCCGATACGAATGGCGCTTCCAGTTTCAGTGATGGATCATCTGTTGTGGCATCAACGTTTGCACCTGCACCCAACAGCACTACTTCTGCTGTAATGATTGCTGGTGATGCAAATTCGTTGGCATCAGCGGACCTGCCAGCTCTGGAATTCAGTGACGGTGCCTCCTCAGGGTTTCGCGCCCTAGAGCCACCCAGCTACCTCGTCGAGCGCACCAACGCGATGATGGGCCTATGTCCACCCAAGTACCTGGATCCATCGGTGATCAAGCACCGTGCGATCCCAACCAACAACTGGTGGGGAAACATCATCGCGCACGACTCGAATGCGGCCATTCAACCCATCTGGTCCAATCCGTACTCCCTGCAGATGGTCGTCGACAAGGCTCCGTTCGGCATGTCCGCGAGCTACCCGTACCGCAGTCGCTTCAGTGGTGGCAACTCCGGCAACAACGGCGCCGTCAAGTACTATGCGCACGGTATGGTTCGAGAGTTCTTGTTTTCGGCTGAAGAAATCGTGTGGCGGAAGCCCAACTTCCAAGTTACCGATTGGGCGGATCAAGGAGTGACCGTAAAGTTTACTGTCAGCTCCTCCGGTGGAAGCATGGTGTCGGACCTTGTTTCTGGCATGGTGTACGCCTCAATGAAGTACTCGGGTCTCACTCCGCGATTCGTGTCAACTGCAGCGATCTCCACTGTAAATGGCCGACCCCTCGGTGGTCAAGTGCGTGGTTCCAAGTTCCAGATCGTCTATAACTCCGGCCAGAAGTGGGTAGTCTTCGCGTTGTCAAGTGACGGTCGTACTGCAAAAGATATCACTCTGACTGCAGATGGTACATCCTCCCTCAAGAGTACGGGTGTGTTCGACGGCATATTGCGCGTTGCTCTCGTGCTCGAAGATTCTTGGTTGAGCACGCTCGACCAGCACAAATCATGCATTGTACAAGCAGCGAACGTTGACATTCGTGACGACAGCTCCTATGCGTTCAAGTGGAAAACGATGGGAGATTGTTCCAGTGGTCTGTTGCACTTTGCAATGAAGCACCACGCTGAGACCCTGGTCACGAGCAGCGGGGTACGCCAAGTGGACGGCATGGTAGCCCACTCGACAACTCGAGGCGCGCATCAAGCTTTCACCACACCAGGCGGGTCTGGCGATCCCGTGTGGGAAATCAAGGAGACACAGCAGGTGCCTGAAGACTTCTACCCGTCCCGCAAAATTGCATCAAATGTCGCTCATGAGCAACGCATCGCTGAGCACCTGCGCGAAGACATCAACAGCGCGTGGTCGATTCCTCTGGACGGCAGCTACTACTTCAACGGCAAAGCTGCGCAGAAGTATGCATCCCTGTGCCTAATTGCGAACGATGTCGCGATTGTGGGCGACGACAAGAGTCTGCTGAAGACATGCCTGGAGAAACTACGCCGTGTGATGGCGCCGTTCGTAGCTAATAGATGGGCCAACAAGCTCCAGTACGACCAGGTCTACGGTGGCATCGTGAGCTCGCAAGGTTTCAAGACCAAAGATCTCAACTCGGACTTTGGTAACACCATGTACAACGACCATCACTTCCATTACGGCTACTGGGTACACACGGCGGCCATCATCAACCGCCTCGACCCGACGTGGAGTGACCTCAGCAAACTCAACATCATGGTCGACCTTCTCGTACGCGACGTCGCCAACTTCGACCGCGAAGACAAGTTCTTCGCACGATTCCGCTCGTTCGACTGGTTCCGCGGCCACTCGTACTCACACGGCGTCACTCCGTTTGCCGATGGAAAAGACCAGGAGAGCACGTCGGAAGACGTCAACTTCGCCTTCGGAATGTACATGTATGGCAAGGCCACGAACAACGCGGCTATGGAGGCCGTCGGCAAGCTCATGACGCGTGTCAACGCGCATGCCATCAAGACGTACTTCCTCGTCGAGGACGCGAACCAAATTCACCCGGCCAACTTCCGCCCCAACAAGGTCACGGGCATCTTCTTCGATAACAAGGTGGACTACGCGACATGGTTCAGCGCTGAGAAGCACTGCATCCACGGCATCCAGATGATCCCCGTGTCGGCTGTGACCGAGTTCGTGCGCACCAAACAGTTTGTAAAAGAGGAGTGGGAGCAGGTGCTGGGCAAGGAGGCCATCGTTACGCGCGAGGACACGGGCAACACCTGGCTCTCGCTGCTGTACGCGAACTTCGCGATGGTGGACAAGCAGCGCGCGCTGCGTGTATTGCAGAAAACAAAGATGGACGACGGCCTGTCTCGTTCCTGGGCACTCTACATGGCTGCCAGCTTTGCTGAGTGAGTCATACCATCTGCTGATGTCGTTGGGATTAGTACACCGAGCACTGCTGTCACAAGAGATCACGTAGTGTCGCGTCCGTTCAGCTGGTGTTAATTGTGTAATTTCAACTTCATCCAATACACTCGATATCGTTGCAGTTCGAGAAAACGTGGTCGACTCTTTTCGACCTCTCAACATCATGCATATTTCGGGGCAACGTGGCGAACGAAAGCACACGCACGTGTTGGCCGCCGCTTCATTGGTGCCGTGCCCTGCACTTAGTAGGTGACAAGATCTTCTCCGCTACCATTACATAGCAGGCCAAACTTCGACTTGGATGGCACGGCGGGGACTCCAAAGTCCTCCACGATAACAGCAGAGGCGTCACTGTCATCTGCAGTTGGCGTTCATCGAACGCCGTTTCCCACATCGATAGACAGCATTGCCTCATCAGCCATCGACGGATGTAATTTTCCGCTCGTAATGCCGACCAGGTAGTAAGTTATACCCAGACTTCCGCCAGTGCAGAGAAACTTGAATGAGATGAGCCCTCCCCGTAGAGCGGTGTGTAGCCTGGATGCGCATCAGCGAAGTCTGAATACCCTCGCTTCACTCCTTGACCGTGTCACGCGTGTACTTTCCATAGCACGCAAGTCCGATAGTACTACTACTCATTGGAGCTATGCGGTCACTGGAGCAGCAGTTGTGGTGAAGATGCCACTGTCTCGAAAAAAGTAGGGAAGAGCGACAATGCGAACGCCTTTCAAATTACGTGTACCCTCCTCTCTTCTTAGCGGGAGGGGCTATTCCAGCACATACTGGAAGACCATCCAGCAGATACTTCGTTTTGCCTTTTCGGCGGTTTATGCGCGTCTAACATAGATGGACAATAACGGTGGCGGCTGTGGTAGATGTGCATACTTGATCCATCTATCTCCGCTACGCCCGTTCCCCGCGCCTCGCGCTCGCTTCTGTGATCGCACTTCAAATGGCAAGGCTGCATCAATGGCCACTTAGGTTCCCACCATCACTGGTTTTAGGGTCTTCATTTTTTGCGCGTTGCCTTCGCGTCGCATGAATACGGCAGATCAGCCGCGTTTGCAATCGTCCTACGCCTAGGAGTTGACAGATTGAAGCTGTCCCACATTTCTGCAGCAAAGAGAAGCGAAGCACTTGGAGCACTTGAAAGACAGACTCGCAGCGTATTGGTTAAAGTGTCTTTCAGTCCCGCGCAACACCTGACCTTTCTGTCGTTCGAAAAATACCACGACAAGCTCCGCGACGGCGCTTGGTTCCTGGCACAGAGATATTCAAAGGTACTATTACCTTGATAAAGTACGATCTTGAGGTCACAAAACGAACCTATCTCTGCAACTCTCTCCGCTCACCGTGTTCGGATGGTTGTCTTCAGGTGTATTGAGTCCAACGTCAACCATGAGTGATCGTGACAAAGTGTAATCCCACATTTGTTATTCGCTGTCTCGTACGGACCTATTTTTGAGCTGATCTATCATGACAACCGCTATAAAATCGACACTCTGTTTACAAATCAAAATAGCAGAACATCCTAATTGATCTACGCTGCAGGGATGAGCCTGCTATCTTATCTTGAGGCCACTCCATCGAGCGGCAGTGTGCGCGAGGAAGTAGCGAAGCGATGAGACATCTCTCACTTATGGGCAGTGATGAAGGTGGAGGTTTAGATGTATACGCACAGGAAAATGTGGGCGTTATGTTTCTTGATGGAATTGGTGATGGCAAATCGGAGACCGAGCGACGCAGATGGCGATGAAGACGACGAACGAAGCACAATAACGACGATCAAGACAACAATAACAAACCACAAGAACGACGAAGGAACACGACAACGACGACTAAACTACGAACAAGATAACACCAACCACAACGACGAACACGATAACGTGAGCCACAACGGCAAACAATGCAGCAACAACAACGACATCAATAATGAATGCAACGGCTACGACGACGACAGGAGGCCACAGGCACTAGTGGGCAATCCCCAGTTGCATTAACAAGTTTGCGCCGCAACTTAACAATTTTGAGCCAGCCATTACGGACACACCGAACGTCAGAGGCAGGACAAGAATCATTGTGCAACAGAATCGTTCGGGATGATTTACGAACAGGAAAATCGAGAGAGGAACGCGAACTAGAGGGAAGGGGAGTGCAGTCAGCGGACCCAAAAAGGGCTTGTCAGAATGGTCATTCGAAAATATTTACGATCAGGAAAAAGTAAGTGAGGAACATGAACAAGAAGAAAGGGGAGTGCAGTCAGCGACCAAATATTGATTGCCAAGATGGTCCTTCGTTACTGTGTATGCCTTGGCAAGGCAAATCACATTCATAAGAAGGCGGGCGCTAAAAGCTGCCACGCACTACCTTTGCACACACCTTCAGGTGTCTATGAAGAAAGGGTGTAACCGTCATTCCCGCGTGCAAATGATGCTCCAGTGATTGACATACGACTGCCGCATTGATTGATGAACGCTTGTTGTTAGTGCGGCTCGGATGGGATTTCCCATCCTCCAGCACACTCGTTACAAACAGGCTGCAAATAAAAGACCGATTTATACTTAATTCATCAAACAAAAATCTGAATGACAACTACTGGCTGAATACAAAAGATTAGACGCGCGCTCTAACTTGACGCGGTCTACACGCGCTCAAAACTGATTTTAAGCGCGTTGTTGACGTACTTTATCGACATCATGTAACGACGTTAAATAGTGATGTCGTCCGTGTGTGTGGTAGACACTTTGTGGTAGGTCCGCAATTTCTGTACTCAACCATAGAAAAAGGTCGAAGAGCGTACTGCACTTAGGCCCTTTTGCCAGGATTGTCTCTACATGGAAAGCCTCATACAACGGTTCTAACCTGTTTTACTACCCACCGCTTCGAAACGATATTTGTGAAAATCACAACGAAGGAAAATGTTTGGACCTTGACCCGTCAAAGATGTGCCGCTTGTTTTCTATGATCGCTCATCTTGAACGTCTGTGATTGTGCTCTTTCTCTGAGCGACACCGCACGGCGTTCTCATGCCGACTAAAGCGTGGGCTTTTATAAAAAGTCGGCTGCAAAGACATCCACATCTTCTACCACCAAGCGTGTGCGGTATTGTAGAACGAAAATGGCACAAATTACTAGTGTCACGACGCTGACTGCTATTAAAGCGGTTGCATCTTCAACAAGTCATGATGTTTCAGCTCTCGAATTTAAAGCGGACGATGACCGTAAATTATATGTGAAATGCAATGGGACCACTCCCTTGCCTTTCACATATGGACGATAAATACACTGAGCGTATGTGGAACGGATAAAAATTGGTTATTTCTATCAAAGATACACTACTATTTCGTGTACTAAACTTTAGTGATGTTGCGGGGACTTCACAATCTTTGAACAACGAGGTTGTTCATGTCGAGTAGGCTACTGTTTGGTCGACAATTACCGAAAAGAGCGCTGTTATCGCAAGATCGAAAGCTTCTTTGAGTGATTGAGGACATCCACAATTGGGAGTCCTACTATGACGAATCAGAGCATAAAACTCCTACAAGAGCACTAAGCCTCCGTTTCTCTGTGTCACAAGCGCGCTCTTTTAAAAACCTTGATGCATCTTGTCGTGTTACACCGATACATTGCCGCCCGAATGGTCAGTGTTGGATGGGTCAGTTGCAACGTTTTTAGCGCGTGCAGGTGTTGACGCACATAGAAATTACGGCGTCTTTCGAACGTGGAAGGAAAGATGGAAATTCGCTTTGCCGTACCTTTCCATTTTTCTTCGTGTCCTTTCCCAACGAAACAACCATTTCATAACAGGGCAGCATACTTGTAGTTTATTGATTTCCTTCCTGGGGCGGAAGGCAGCGATCGCCGCAATTGAACTTCGCGCTGGAGTGTGCGCGTAGGCTAGTAAGTAAAAAAAAAAACCTTTTTCTTCATGCTACTCTGCTGCCGCTTGTCGATCGGGACTAAGCAGAGCAGTTAAAACAGTTGCCTGCTTGTAAGCGGCACCTAGCCCAAACGCGTCTTCGAGCAATGCTTTACACATCTATGTTAAAGCTGTGCAGGTACCCTATCAAATAAAAAGCATTTAAAGCTTCTGCTTCTGCTTCCATAGATGGTTTAGCTCGCAAAATGCAAACAAGAAATTGATAGTTAATTTTAGCGTCTTCAAGGCATGTTGGCTCCAGGTGGAAACATTGGCTATGCTCTTTTTTGTGGCTCACTCGTCGACATTTAGACGCGAGCGCATGACGCTGCTTTTGAGATGGGTGGAGTGGGTCAAGAGTTTAAAGTTTTTAACCCCCTCCAATCTGCACGAAGTCCGTTAAAGGGCGCATCTAGGGTACGGTCGGTTGAAGAACCGGGTCGACCTCCAAGATCGTTTGTCGATGAGAGCCGCACGAACGACGCGCGGTCCTCTTTGGTCACCACGTTTGAGTACGGGAGGTTTTTTTTCGTCGTCTGAAAGTTTAGTAAACGCCTTTTTTTGCGCGATGCCGTCGTTCGTCGCACGAATATCGACGTGATCTCTTATGGATATTCATATTGCTTTTAAAGACTTACTTGGCATACGGATGTTTCTTCGTGTATGGTAGGAGGATAAGCCAAAAGCTAGGTAATCGACTTTCTCTTCCACAGTGATAGGCCCGACAAAAATGTGACAACACTTTGGTAGTACCAATAAGTAGTACTGAAACTGATTGAATAGGTAGAGTTTTAGTATAAAGTAGTAATTTGGCGTTACAAAATCGTGAATTTTACGAAGAATTCGGTCTGCACATTGTTTTGCTTTTCCTGTGCGCTTGACATAGTGTAAAGGGCCTTTCGTTTGATGCCTTTATATTCATTCACAAAGCGTGCTTTCTTAGAACTCTTTGCATCTAGCTCTTTTCTAATACAACAGAAATTCGATCAAGGGTCATTGCTGCCGAAAACGACCTATCGTCATTTTATTGGAGCACTACAACGAGTGTCGGGTACGAGACTTGGCA